CATGACATTTGAAAAAAAAAAAAAAGGATATTGTGTTCATTAATTTGTTCCCTTATTAATTTGTTTACTTGTATCTATTTTTTCTTCCACATGTCATGTGCAGGGCTCCGTAGTGTAGCACTCTTTCAACTCCATTTAACACATTTTACTGTGTATTTAAGGATTATTTGACAAACACATTTTAGCAGATTTCCCAATAAAATTAGAAAAGAAATAGTGAGTAAAAAAGACTGCAGATTCTGCCTATATAAATGTTATGGATGAAACAGTATTTGTGTTTATGAGAAATGGGGGAATCACTGTATCATCCAGCTTAATATAGGTGCTGGCTTTGTCTGTGCTTATTAATGGAGCAGAACTGATTGATTCCAGTATTGACTCTGAAAGGCATATATCATTGGCATTAATTAATCTACCTACATAATTCAGCAATTTCCAAATGCCCCAATTCAACCTAATCTCTTTAGTTTTTAGGGAGAGGATCTAAATAAGTTCCTTTCGAGGACTGTCACAGTTCAGCTGAGTTTAGATTATTCCATGTTTGTCTCCAGGAACACGTCTATATCATTAGTTATATACGTTTATTACTGTTGTGGTATCACACATCTAAACATGACTTAATTTAGCATATTTTATTAGTAAACAAATAAGCAAATGGGATTGCGCCTAATCGGATTGTTTCCCACCACAGTAAACCAAGGCTCCAATATATGATGCATGGCTGACTAAAGACCCTTATACACAATATGAATGCAACAAGAGATAAAACCATCTCAGTGTAATGGGTTTTTTTCCCATTCACCAGCTGTGACCGTGACAAGCGACAGGACATTGTTGATCACATGGTTTTTATTTATGCAGTGTCACTCTACATAGGCCTGCTCACTGTAAAAATCTCATCAGTCTCACTCCTCATAACTGTACATTATAGGGATTTAACGATACATCGATATGGATCAGTGCACTGATCAAGAATAATTGCACTTTGTAAAAAATGTATATATATTTTTAAGATGCACCATGTTAGCCACATCTGCATGCATGCATGTCTTAAAGGAAAAACCTCTCTCGAAAGAGACGACTTGTTTAACTGTTATAAAATGATTGTTACTGGGACTTTCTTGACTATTGTCATTGCTTATCTTGTTGCATCTCATTGAATCTCATCGAATTGTATCATGGTATGTTTTGAGGTCTCAGCAAATATTGTATCTCTGGTTAAGAGGATAGATGTCAGAATGTATCATGATGAAAAGTCTAATTTACAGCCTAGATCATGGAATACTAAATATCTTCTGATTGGCTGAGATTGTGTCATGTCACACAGTAGTCTCTCTTTCAGGGTGAACAAAGCACTTGTTGCTGGAAACGTGTTGCATCTTTCCTGGATAGGACATGGTGTAAGAAAATTGATCACTTGATCACAGGATCACCCCTACAATCCCACATATTAACATCATTAAGATTGGTTTAACTGTATTACTTGGCCACAACAGCTTTTTAAGGGTGTGTTTTTGCCATTTTTCTACCAACAGTCAAGGTGTACATGATTACACCCTCCTTAGGTCATGATCAGAGAGCCGAGACCCTGCAGTGCAGGAAACTGTATAACTGCTGCCAAGAACTGCGCCTACAGAGCAAAAAAAAAAAAAGTTACCTAGTAGTCCCAAGCACAAAGCTGTGATCATGCACACAGTGCGAGCATTGTTATCCCTTTTTTCCTTTTGTCTTCAGTGTTTTCATGGGTCCTCGTCCCTGGTGTAGGTGTTTGATGTGTGGGCTGTTCTTCAGTCTGAGCTCAGCCATTATGACAGGCAGGAGGGACTTAATAACAGTGCTTTCACCCCAAGCAAGCTCCTGACAAATTACCTGTGTGAGACCTGGATTTAGAGAAGGGTCAGTGGAAAGATCACGCTCTCTCACACACACAAGCACATACAAACATTTCCTTTGTCTCTCTTGAAAAGGGAGTCTCTTCACTGGCCTCTGTACCTTCACACTATCACACAGACATAATAGATGCTTAATGTCTATTCAAAGTGTTTGATGTGTGTGGGTGAATATTTCCATATTCCACATTTGGAGAGAAATAAAGAGAGAGGGGGATCTGTATATGTGTGATGTCACAAGCTTGCCTATTGGCAGAGGGTCTTTCTTAAAGGGATAGTTCACCCAAATTGAAAATTCTGTCTTTATTTACTCACCCTTAGCTTAACCCATATGCAAAAGAATGTATTTTTCAATGACAGTTCATAGTGATCATGGTCATATGCTATGACATTTAAGACTTTTAAGTCATAAAATAGCTTTGTGTGAGCACAAAAATGTATTTTAAAGGAATAGTTCACCCAAAAATGGAAATTCTGTCATCACTTACTCGCCCTCATGTTGTTCCAAAGCTGTTTGAGTTTCATTCTTCAGTGAAACAAGATATTTTGAGTAATGTCTGAGAAATATCTTTGAGAAGTGTTTTTTTTATTGATTGATTTATTGTCCATACAGTGGAAGTCAGTGGTCACCAAAACTTTCAACTGCCTTTGAATATATCTTCTTTTATGTTCTGCAGAAGAAAGAAAGTCAGGTTTGGAACAGCTAAGGGCAAGTAAATGATGACAGAATTTTTAGGAGAACTATCCCTTTAAGTTAATATTCACTCCATTGATATGTTCACTTAAAAACCACTGAGACTAGACTCAAGCATTGGGCAGGTTTGTGAATGAATAGTTTTTTTAAACCAGTTTTATGAACCGGATCTGCTTGTTTAAAAGAGCAATACACATTTCCGTTTAGAATGACTTGAGGAAGATTAAATGATGCTAGACTTGTGAACTATGCTTTTAATCTGTGCCACTGACTCTTGACCCCACTGTCTGTTTGAGGACTCTCACTAAGAGAATCATCTCTTCTAGGAATTCTATTTCTCTTTCTCTCTCTGAGAGGTGCATCAGGTAGAGCTAAGCCAGAATGCAAACCCGAGCAAGACGCGGTTGTTTCAGAAGAAGCTTTCAGCATTCAAACAGCACTCCATAATTCTCCCCTTGGCTTTTGTGCAGTTGAGTATTGAAAATTTGCCATTGCCGCAGTCAGTTTTCTTCAAGTCTGTCTTTTGTTCCAGTGGCTGAGCTCAGGTGCACAGAACAGACCTCTCTCACTCTCTCCCCCTCTTCATCTCTCTGTGCTTCTCATTTTCTCGCTCAGCACTGACTGGAAATCAAAAATGCCAATTTGCATATGAAATTGGGTGGAAAGCAAAATTAGTAGAGCTGCATTGAGTAAAAGCAGTTACACACACATGTACACTCAGACTTGTTTGTCCCTTTCGCTGGCTGCTCTGTTTACAAAGTTCCACTGCACCGAAGGACTCAGTGGAGTGTTTGAATTAGCGACTCGTTCAGAGCTTTGTCGCGTGATGAATATTACCGCTGTTCATTAGCATGAGTAATTAGGTCAATACTATCACGTGGTCTCGTTCATGAATGCTGTGTAAAGGTAAAGCATTTGAACATGGCAATTTCAGAGAAATGTTGAGACAAGCAGGATGATTGTTCTATCAGGTATTTGTGTAAATCCTCCAAGCTGTCTACATTGTCTTTCATCCAATAGACATACAAAGCTTGATTGTATTTAATGTCACTTGTCTATTGTGAAAGAGGATCCGGTTGGAGATCCTCCAACAGACCTACAGACATTTGCTAAAACCTCATTCTGAAGTGGCAGTCAGACATCATCATCGCAAACTTGTGATTATGCTCTTAAAGCACCATCAGCCACCACATTCTGCCCCATGTTGTTTTACCGGCCTCTATAGCCTCTTCCAGACCTGCCAGCTCGCCGTACTCCTCTGGGACAGTCACAGGATGTTGTTTGATGGCTTTTATCCACAGACCACAAAGGGGGCTCTGTGCTAAACTCTGTGAGTTATTGCTTTAAGAGGGACGTTTTACAGAGAGGAGATTCTTTCCTTTTTTTCCCCTAGATTCTTTGTTTTAGGATAGATAACTTGCTTCACAGAGATCCCTTTGAGAGTCTCTGTTTGTCAGTCCCTGTGAGGATCCCAGCTTGTTTTTCTGTACTGGTAGCAGGTAGTGAACTTGCCTCCCGTTAGAGACGCTTCACTACGCAGTTGGTTGAACAACAGCGCCACTTAAAGGAAGTTAAAGGAACTGTAGCTTACAACAAAGTTAGATTTGTTTGGTGAATTCACAAAACTCTGGGACATTCAGAGGCATAGATGTTATTCTGGATACTAGGCAAAAAAAATGTTCTGGCTAAGATATCGACTTCTGTTTTGCCTTTATGTGTCCTCTTTATCTTTTATTTGTAGCATGCATGTGTTTTTTTATGTGTGTGTTGAGCATCAAAAACAAAAAAAAAATACATTAGTGCGCTTTAAGTGTCTGAGTATAATATAGTTCACAGCTTTACTGTACAGTAAATAGATGATCTAGATTAGGATTGGCCATATAATAGATATCTAAACTATAGAGATTAACATAAGTGACACTTTACCAAAACTGGTTTTGTAATGCAATGAACAAAATATACTGCATAGTTAGATGACAAAAATGCATTATAATGTCTATATAAATATGTAAACATAATATAAACATAAATTACAGGTATATATAAATTATATATATATATATATATATATATACATATATATATGCTGTAAATATTTTAAATCTTGATTTTAACATTTAATACAACCATTTTTAGGTCTCTCCAGAGATGCTCAATTGAAAAATTTAAGGGGGTCTGAATACTTTCCGTACCCACTGTATATATATATATACTATATATAAAAGAAATGCACCTTAAATATTGCAGAAAAATTATTTTATATTTCACATATAAAAAGTAAAATATTGCACATTCTTTAATAAAAGGTTTACTCAGACAAATCTATGTTCAGGAAGCCATGCTTTGCCATCTAATATGTGTAAACTAAAGAACATACATCTTGACATGCAGTCACTGAAGACATTGTGTTTTTTTAGGTGATCTTGGTGAGCTCCAGCATCAATGAACGTGACCAGATGCTCTTCATCAGCACTGATGAGGGTTCATCCTTCCAACGGCAGCCTGTCTCCTTCACCGTGGATACACTCCTCTTCCATCCATCTGAGGAAGACAAACTTTTGGCTTACAGCAAGGAGGCGAAGGTCAGTGATGAAAGTGTTGGCCAACACAGATTATTGCAGTCGAGTAAATGACTATTAATGACACCAATTGAAGTCAGTGTTTTTTGGCAGCTTCAAACAAGTTGCTCACAAGACCATAATATGTCTTAATTCCAGCTGCATGTTCGTAGATTTTCTTGTCAGGCTTAACTGCCTGAATTAGTCTTTGTGGCTTTTTCAGTATTAATGATTTAGGTCTCGGCTGAATGCCTTGACCAACTGTTCTCAACACATTTCTCACCCAGCTTTGTTTATGGCTATGCTTTTTGCTTTCCAGCATATTGGCATCCTCATTATTAGAGTTATGAGCAGCACTGTTTGGCCTTCGGGCCATGGTTGTCTCTCGCTATAGAGCATGTTTACATTGTTAACGGCTGGGTGAGCAACGAGGCAAGATCTGTGTGTGTGTGCGTGAGTGTTTATGTGCAGTTGATGAATTGCTAAAACCCCTAGACACTGCTTGCAACACACTGCATTTATCATCTCTGAGATTAAATGGAAAAGACAATGAAAAGTGTGTATTTGTCTGTGTGTGCTGTTATGGTGCAGTTTGATGGGTATTTTCCATGCAAGTGGTGATCAATATATTCTCATTATAGGAATGATCAATTGAGGACAGATGCACACACGCACACACACAATCATACTTAACATATGTGATTTTAATTGGTATATATGGACAGTTTCCCACAACCTAATCGCTACAGTACACAATGAATACAGTATACAATGAATTGCTCATCTAATTCTCATGATCCTGAGAATTTGAAAAAGTGTATTTTACTCTAATCCAGTTTAAAAATCAATGTTATGACCATTGCTTCAAGCATCCAGTGGCAGTAAATAGTGATTTATTTGTCTTTCTTTATTTTTCAGCTGTATATCTCCACCGATCTGGGTCACAAATGGACTCTGCTGCAGGAGCGTGTTACTAAAGACAGAGTTTTCTGGTGATTTTTTAAAAGTCATTTTACACTACTTAAAGCAACCTTATGTTGTTTCAAACCTGTATGACTTTCTTCTGTGGAAAATCAAATCAGCTATTTAGCAGAATGTCTGAGCTGCTGTCTTCCATACAGTGGGGATGAGGGGCTGTAAAGCTTCACAAAAAACATTGTAAAGGTGGTGTGTAAGACTTCTGATGACATATGATGGGAAACAGACTAAAATATGAGCTGTTATTCACTTAAAATGTTGCTTGATGACTGTGGTCACCATTTACCTTCACTGGAAAACAGCAGCTTTGACATTCTGCTAAAAAGAACTTCTTTTGTATTCCACAGATGAACGCAAGTCTTTCTGGGTGTCAGTGTTGTTTTGTTTTACTTTACATTTCCCTCTGAGACTTTCTTTTAAATCTTTTTTCCCTCTCCATTCCCTCTTTCTCGTCATCCACCTTCTTAGTGGAATTCAACCCCTTTTTTCATTTTCCATTCCTCCGCTCCCTGGTTATGGTTCACTGCTACCACAGCTGGGATTGAAATCCTGTACAGAAGTGATTTATTTCTCCACCCCAACCAGTCATTCTGTCTGACCCTCTCTTTCTCTTTTTTGATCTCTCTTTCCTGATCTTTCGCTCTCTTCTGCTTGCGTGCCATCCTCCCAGCACACTTTACCAGATTCACATACACACGATATACGATCCTGTATAGTTTGTCTGTGGTTGATAGTGATAAAAGATCCTTTTCAGCATCTTTTCAGATGCTCCTGTCAGCATCTGCCATAATAAACCCCATCCAACACTTTTTATTTGGCTGGAGGTTTTACAATGACACTGTAAATCTGAAGCTATTTTTACTCTATTCCTCAGCAGCAGGGGGTTTGATAAGGGTCGTACCCTTTCCCTCTCTACTGTCTCCAAACCTCTTTAAAACATCTCAGAGAATTGCCTCAGAAGTCACGACAAAAGCAGTTCATAGTGAGGGTTGCTTCTCTCTCGTCCTCCCTGTCTGCTGCCTCGCTCATAAAACAACAGAAGGGGAGGTCTGGAGAGGAAAGATCATAAATCAGTGTGGCTTTAATGGACAGGGATGCTGTCTGGGAGGGTGGTCCTTACCGTGTGGTCAGGAGAGGTGTCTTGAGCTCATTGCAACTTATTATGTGATGTTGAGACATGACGGTCAAGTAATCTGCCATTAATCAATGTGGAGCAAGAGTATGTAGCCATTATGCTGCTGTGAATAATTTTTATGTAGTAAAGCATTGATTTAGAACCATTATTTTCCAGCTGAAAATTACACTGTCTGATAATTAACATTAATGTATTTTTTTTCCTAAGCCAATTAAGCGCAAACCCCAGCAGCCGATTTCATTGATCTTGTGAATCTGTTAAGGGTTCTGTTAATTTCCTGCTTGTTAAAATGCTTGTAAAATAATGTAGGTTTTGTGCATGTTTACTGAGCTAGAACTTCGCTGAGCAGCTTAGTAACCTCCAAACAATTGTCTTTAACACAGCTAGACAAAAGACAGTGAGCTGTCTGCGTTCCTTGAAACCAAGGACTTTGTATGTGTCTGTATGGTTGAGAAGGTTCTGCTAAGGGAATGTTTTAAAGGGATAGTTAAACCAAAAATGACATCCATTCTGTCATCATTTACTCACTATTATTTCACTTTTTTCTTCTACGGAACACAAAAGGTCACTGGTCAATGTTTGTGTGTGATTGCAAGCATTCAAGCTTTAAAAAGGACACAAAAGCACAAAAAAGAATCATAAAAATAGTTATGTACTATATTTGAGGTCTTTGTGTGAGAGGAAAGTCTTTAGAGTTTTCCTTTTTCTGTTAAATAAAGTCATCGGAACAACATGAAGGTGAGCAAATGATAACAGAATTGTAATTTTGGAGTGAACTATCCCTTTAAGATGTCCTTCTGTGTGTGAGTCAGTCTTGTTTGATCCTCTCTAACTACATACTAAGTGTATGCTTTGTTTAAGGGCCGTGACGGGGGTGGACGTGGATCCTGATTTGGTTCATATGGAGATTCAAGACATCGGTGGTGGTAAGGGAGCTCATGTGTTTATAGAACAGCGCATTTCAATTCAGTTTTACATACTGTATCAAACCACTGCGAACAAGGGCAGATGGGATGTTTAGGGCTTCAGTTTTGCCTCATTCAAACAAACCTCTTTCAGCGAAATTCCTCTTGGCTGAGCTGTTTTGTGAGGCTTGTGTGTTTGTGTGTGTGAAAGAGACCAGGAGTACAGATGCAAACTGTTGCACAGAGCTCCATCACACTCAAGCCAGTGAAGGTTAAACGCCGTCTGACAGTCACATTGCAACCTACAAACACATACACTCAACCCCTAAGGGAGGTGAACGAGTTGTGTCTAACCAGTATAAGAAAATCACACTGGACACATACATCAAGCCCTTCTTCTGATGAATGAACTTTCAGTTGTAGCTTTACTCTGTATCTGTTGGGTTTGTGTCACACTGACAGATGCAGACCTCAAGTGTTTTTTCTTCAGCTCAGTGGCTCCTTCAGCCTCTCATAGGATGTGCTGTGTGTGTGTGTGTGTGCGTGTGTTTGTGTGTGTGTGTGTGTGTGTGTGTGTGTGTGTGTGTGTGTGTGTGTGTGTGTGTGTGTGTGTGCACATCTGACCTTGTGTGACAGAAGACAGAAGCAAAGCGCTCAGCCATTCTAATTGCATTTTAATTAATTTCTCTACTGTACTGCTTTGATTAACCATTTGTCCTCTTCAGTGAAGTAGTATGCCTGTTTGTTTGCCTAAAATTAATAACAAAAAATAAAACCACAGAGAATGAGAGGAAACAACATTATGAGAATAGCAGTTAAGTTCCCCACTTTGATATGTAACCTTTGGCCATGATTTTTGGAGTATGCATTCTCCTCTAATATTTTCATCATTTTCCAATTGGTTGTAATTTTTATGCATGTGTGTGTGTGTGTGTGTGTGTGTGTGTTTTGTTGAGGTTGCTGAGCCAGCTATTGTGTGAGATTCTAAACAGAAAGGTCACGTCAACAGGGCACCTCGACACTGTTTTCCAATAATTAAAGGGGTCATATGATGCTGCTAAAAATAACATTATTTTGTGTATTTGGTGTAATGAAATGTGTTTATGC